TCTGATTTTGTGTGCCTTTTGTGTTATTTAGACATTTTGGTCCTGCTGAGTCGTTAGAGATTCGGGACTTTTGGCTTACTACCAAACGAAACCTCAAGTCTGCTGAATTTTGGATGAAGCTTGCTTAAATGTGATTTTGACAAATCTAGAAGTGAACGTAGCTTTTCGTGGAGTTACGGTCGGTTGATAAGCATTTGCAATTTTTTTTTGAACCTTTTCATAGTAGTCTGTGAGCGGTTTCGACCTTGAATCTAACTAATGATGGAAACGAAGAGCAGTTTGTACTTTGAACAGCATGGAAAAAGCATCACTTCTTCGCCAGTGAAAAAAATTATTCCACGAGCGTCTACGACATTTTCCCATATTTCAACAACAAACCCAGTTTTCAAGATCCTCTCGATTGTCAACTACTTACCTATGAATTTCACGCGCCAGTGGTAGACAATGTCTTTCGATGGACGTAAAAGAACTTTTCGCTTAAGCTCTTGTGGGAGGGGTCTAATTTTTTTCAAGTAGAGGGAACTAGGCGGGCCAGTATTAGCCTTTTTTTCCAAAAAAAAAAAAGCTAAGCTTATCGCTAGAAGAGACGCTGATTTACAACCATTTACTGCCAAATTAGGTCGATAAAAGTTTGATTCGTTCACCGTATTTCCACATGAAGCCTTGCTGCACTATGTGAAGTCGGCTTTTGAAAAATTTGAATATTGCCATATTGAAAGATCACGCTTTTTGTGAGAAGCAAAGAGGAACAGTGACAACGTGCGCGTGTCCTCTAAAGCTCAGTTGATCGCACTGAAACTCGTGTAACTATTACGTCTATAACTACTGATCAAATCGTCAGGTGTTAACTGAGAGGAAAAATGCGCGAAGATAAACAAAAAAAGGCGGATATTAAAACATCGCCCATAGGGCGGCGCCTGGGGGCCATCCTTGACTAAGCTATGAGGAAATCTGCACACATATGTTACGCAGCTGCAAAGAAAAAGAAGAAAAGATCATGACAGGATTGGAAAAGATCATGGCTAACATTTATGGATCGCGGAAAGGTAAACAAAGGCTTTTTATTGTGGTGGACGAGTCGATAGCTCTGCACGGGAGCCCTCGCATGGACAAGACCGTCTGTAACGGAGGGCCTAACGGAAGTTGTTCTACAAGGTTTGAAGAACAGTAGTACTCAGGGGATTTTTCGCACCGAACGGTTAGCACATAGGCAGCATTCGTATCCGCAGGATCAATTCCTTGAGATCTGAAAGCGAAAAAGAGATAAGCAGTACAGACAGACCTGTTAGTAGGTCTAAAAGAAACAACACCAGATTAATGGCAAACCTAATAGTATTCGTTTCGTTGTTCGCACCAGGGGCCGGCGTTCAGAACGTAAACCAATAATAATAATAATAATAATTAGGCCCTAGAAGATGGAAAGGAAGGGTAATTAACTCTCTATCTAACGCAGTTTTTTCGAACGGACTCTTCGAACGAAGGGCCTTATACATCAAAAAGCTTCGTCGAACTTCTACCTGCTATACCCTGAAGGCTCTACAGATACACCTCACAGCGTTGTATCGAAGTGCGGAAGAAATGGCTACACCAGGCGTAGCCTTGAAGCCTTGTTCTTACAGAGCGTTCGGGGTTCATAAGACGTCAATGTCTATCCAAAGAGAAGTCAAACACAGGGAGTAGATGCAGTGTTGTGGAGAAGAAAAAGCTAGGCTCGCCGGGCTAGCGAGACAGACGATGCGTAAAGGCTGGGTTTACAAAGTGGACGGTAAGGTAACAATTTGCTTCCCCTGGGAAAAGGCTCGCCTGGCGCAGCTGGGAACTTAACCGAGGTGACCGGCTTGCAGTACTATTAACTGATGAGTCGGACTCTTAGTATGACACATAAAAGAGGTGTTAAGAGTGGTTTCAACAAAATAAAAGCCACCCTTTGTAACCGAGTCCCGCATCCATTGGCCACGCTAGATAGTCATTGTTCTGCTAAGCCCAATCGTGCGTAAACAGCGTTACGTAAAACCTCTTAGAGAATATACACAATTATACTTGATAAATTAATTATTCGCAATATAGTCCACGAGTCGATAATACTGCTAAGCGTTTTGTGCGTCATGCCAATAAGGCCATCAAAATTTGCCTCAAAAACAATATCAAATGACGCGTTATTATCAACAACGACGACATTTAGTACAACGAGTGAGAAGATAAGATGATCCCGTTTAACCTGACATTCATACACACATAGGCTCGTATTCTTACTTAGCTTATTTGTGTTTTTAGGGTTCTTAGCTCCCCTTAATTTTCCCGTAAAATTAGAGTCGACGGCATAAACGTTCATATATGCGTAAAATGCAGTAATCCATATACGCGCGCCAATTCATTCTGATTCATAAGGTGGTCACATAGTACAAATTGATGTAATGACCCTGAGATGCAGTTCAAAAGCAACTGGAACTGTAGGTAAAAAAAAAAAGGATTATTTTGTTTATATAGCATCGCATAAAAGCTCCGAAAGACATCCTATGTTTGTTATGTCTTAAAGAATTCTAAGTTATTAATTTACACAATAAAAATAATCCACTAACACGAGTTGTACTGATGCACATCTAAAACAGCTCTGAAAGGTTCGTAGCACTAACATTTATATTCAGTGATTCCTTACTAGAGAAATCAGGGTGGCCCATAGAGCTCCACCTTCCCTAATGCCCTAGCATAAAAGTTCACGCGGGTGACGTTCTTTTTAGGATAAAGATTTGGCCAAACGTCGAACCTTGGCGCTGTGTGGGACGGTGCCGGGTGAGATGTGGAGAGACAATGAGAAGTTCTTCATTTAGCCGGTATGCGTCATTCAGGTTTTTGATTTGAGATTTAGGATATCTGCTAATAATCATACGACTGCAATTCATCTTCCCGGTCGATTCACAGTCATCGGCTGGCTTTCTTTCTTAAAAAATGTTCTCAGACTGTTCTCATTGACTTCAGATTGCCTACCGGGCCGGGTGCGTTGTCTAGCTCCAAGATGTCACTATAGAGTTTGGCAATTCTTGCTTGAACGATTTTCTCAGGTGCAAAGTTAATGCCGCACAAAGCACACGTAGTCCGGACAGTTTCGGCAGTCTTTTGGCCTCGACAGGATTTGAAATTGACTAGATACCAAAAATTCGCATTTTGCTCACTAGGCACGTTTGTTTTTGGAGCTGAAGTTCAACTTAAAAAAACTTCTGTTCATTGCATAGTTAAATTTCTAGGGCTTATATGGGCTGGCGAGCATACTGGAACAAAAATGAGACAAAAAGACGACTTTTTGACAAAAATCCGCCAGTGGTCACGTTTCGAACAAATCCATTGTATAAACGAAAGTTCAATTCATGGCTGTCCGTGGGGTGCCTGCATCGGGGGATGCAAAAATAAGATGCAGTTTATAAGAAAGTAGTATGATTTTTCTGGTCGACTTACCTCTCTTTATGCACAAAGGCTTAAAGCGCCGTATATGAATGAATTCTTATTTCCTGACCAAACATATTCCTAATTTTGTGTAATCGATAAATAGCAACATCGAACATCCCGGTTCTGAGAGTATCGACATCCGTTGAGGTTCGAAATGTCACCAGACGTCACATGACTACTACAAATATAGAATATATATACAAATATAAAATACTACTACAAAGATCCGGCCCATGAATAAAATTTGGGCTCAATAGCCTATATGGCCCACTAAGTGGCAATCAATAGATGTAGTATGACGGTCCAACTGGCCAGGGAGCAATGACAATCCGTCAATGGTAAGACGCATTTAGGAGCTCGAGTGCAAAATGATGTTTTGTGCCTTACACCTGAGAAAGGAAAAGCAAACGCTTTGCCTGTCACTGTTTTGCGTCACGCCTAAAATGTCGCTCATGTCATGCCTTGATACCTTTCATTAATACGCCCAATGATTCTGTTTGCCACCGATTAGGTCGATACGAAATTGGTGTTTACCGGCACAGTACAGAATCACTTGGATAAATTTCCAGCGCTGATCTATGCCCATGTATGACGTTAACGTTCCGTAAAAAGTTGATCACACCTAATTCGGGAGTGATTTCATAAAGCAGTAACAGTTCAATTGTCGCTCGACTTACCTACTCACGCTGAAGTGAGGACTGACGAGGGGACTACTGGCATCTTTCAGCTTTGCTCTACTTTTGCGTTGCCCCTTCTGCTTCGCCATAACGATAAATATTTTAATTGCGTTTCTAGAAAAGAGATCGGATCCGTATATGTGCTCGTGGTAAGGAACGAAGCATGACGTTGCTTCTTGTCGTGAACTAATGATTGATACTGGCTATCACGAAACGTTCATGATAGAGATATACAGATGGTGCTTATGCGATCAATCATTATTTTTTACGAATCTACAACTGTTCCGTCAAGATTACGGGTTCACGGAGAGCCTGAGGAAATCTTTCCGCTGTTGTTTCTGGTGGCGATAGTTTTTAATTTAAATTAATAGCAAATAGGGTATTATCCTGTAATAATATTATAATCGTATTGTTTCCGTGTTTGTATGCCGTCGTTCCGGAGATTTTAATTTCGAACACTTGAATATCACTCCGATAGACTCATAATAAAGATTTTGATAGAACAGTTTTACGCTGCAACGGTACTGACATCTACGTCTCACTATATATAACAAGAAGTTAAAGTTAAGAGATGCAATTGCTGAGACAGCCATCGTAAGGCTAATTAACTATATGAAACATTTCGATACTAGCTATAAAAGTAAATACTAACCAGTGTAATGGCGGGTTTCAAAACCACATAAGGTCCATCGAAGTAATAGGTTTCGAAAACTATGGACTTACGCAGTGTGGGGAAAAACAGCCAATCGTAATCGGTTTAGTAAAAACAACAGAGTTAAAATATTACATTTCGATGTAGTTACAACTATTCAGTGGTATAAAATACGTTAAAAGAATAGCCAAATGGGTTGAATGGTGTTTTTTTTTTTTAAGGACCCAAACCTTTAGTACTGATAGAGTGGAGAGGTCTGTTCCTGCAGTATAATCAGACCTGATGTTGTGTGCTATATTAATGCCGGGCCAGAATAAATGTCTCCAGTTTCATATACGGTGTTGTGGTTACACATTGCCTCACACAGCGGATCTCGGTTCAAATCGAAAACCTGCCGATGCGTAAACACCATCAGAACAATCTTTTTGTTCCGAAGATTCGCATGATCGATATACTATCGCGGGGGTATCTACAAGACAACGAGCTTTGTTTCTTCCTCAGATCGTACTTGTGATGCACGTTGTTGGTGAGACTTCAACCAATTCACAATACGTAAGCAATTAGCAACGACATCTCCAAGTGAATTTAATTTCCAGCTATCTTCAGGGTGTTTGTTAAGTCACACGGCAGTACGGCGTTCTAAAAAAGCGAGCCTCCGTAATTCCTTTCAGGGATATTACGTAACTTCTCTATGATGAGACTGGTAACCTTTTTGAAGCACTCTGTGGCTGAGTCAAAATAGCTGATCACGTTTATCTTTAGGGCATATTCTAGTTACGATTGTACTTCATTGCGGGACCGAGCCCTGGACTTTATCAAAGTGAAACAATGAATGGACCCCCATCTAACAAGATTGCTAGACAGTTTCCCCATGCGAACTAGATCGATGCTCACGATAGATCCCCGTATCGATTTCTCTCCGTATGTTACAGCCTTGTAGCTTTTCAACCTCAATTCAGATTAGGCCTCTTCTAGCTTTCCCTCAATACGAAATAACGAAGCTCGCATTACCGATCAAGACCTAAAATAGGACCGTGGAAGTCCGTTTCGGCTTCCCTAAAAGATGGACTCGCCTTTAAGTCCATCGATCTCTTCATTTGGACAATCTGTTGAAACGTCAAGCGAGCGTCAGTTAGCACCTACGGCTAAACAAGATGAGCTCAGTTCAAAACCTAGCTCTCCGCATAGTTCACCACACATTGAAATTCCGTCAAACGGTACAAGCGAAAATAAGCCGGGATATGTAGAACCGGCTCATGATGAGGAGTCCGATCCTCCAGCTCTGCATCATGAGGTTTATCACAGTCACTGCGATCCAGAATACCTAGATTCGTTGGTGGATAGTTATGGCAACCCGACACAAGAGCCCACAAAATCGTCAGATACCAATGTAAACATAAGGCTTGACGAAGGAGCTAAGGAACACCACAGAGTAGCTGTTGAGGAGGACTCATTAAGTCAAGATAGCTCTGTGCTAGCAATGCTACAAAAAACAAGTACGGAATCTTAGTCCCACCAACAACCGTACGCGCATAGAAGCAGTAATTAGTTAGTAGTTGTTATCGGCTGAGACTAACGAACAGAATCCCCTAGTATTATATAGCGAACTTACTACAGTACCACAGCAAAGCGCTAGTTGTCGAGCTTCCATTGATATAAACGCGTTTCTTTTCCTTTGTATTTCAATTTGTTACGTGTTGCAAACGTAATCGTACATGTAAAATGCTGTCTCTAGAGCCCGTCCAGCGTTCAGGTATCTTGAGTTCGAAAGCAATAATCATTACGGACGGGTGCCATCCAATACATTATGCCCAAATCATTGTGCTACATAACGGTGTATGGGACTCACAATATGAACTATAAGGTCAAGTATAATTGATGCCAAAACGGGAGAAATATGCGACGAAATCCAATTGTTCGATTTTCCTTAGGAAAAGGTTGAATCAGATATGCTAGCGTTAAATTAAAGGATTATATTAAATCAATTACATAACTGCTTTCTGAACAGGCATGATGGCACTGATACTGCTGGGCCCAACAACTGTCTGAGCGTGATTGCGATCTATACTTGTTTATCTGTAGATGCCCAGAAATGCACAGAGGCCGAATGGCTCTAAGTTACCATGATAACGAAGTTAAGATGCCCTTGTTGCATGGAGTGGCCGGTGCAAAGCGTGTACATTTCGATGTTGAAGACTATATCGTCGAGTGTAGAGGTCAAGGCCATATAGGTACGTATATACTGTAATGTGATAAGAATAAAGGCAAAAGGCCGCTCCTATTAGGATTTGCCTAAAAATCAATCTTAGTCTATTTCCGACTGCCTAGATTTACCCGGATCGGATGTTCCTATGCGTGGCTAAATTGTGCGAAATAAACGGATGACGAAATGATGGCAAACGATGGAAAGCATACAGTATTACGCGGGAGAAAAGCTGGGGGGAATAAGCGGTGTCTCGGCGCCAACGTTACTAAATGTAACACTGTGATATTGTCGAACGTCACGATGTGCTTGGTAATAGTAGTTGAGTCGAGACGTAACCTAAAGTTACAATAGCATAACGATCATTGAAGGCGCGCTATGCAGAATTTACAAATATATCCATTTAGAACTGTGTAAGTCAGAGAAAAAGTCGTACGGAGCGACCGGCATCAAACTCTAGCCAGTATCCGGTAGTATTTTGCCGTAGGTCTATCCTTGCTTTTTTTTTTTTTGAATCTTTTACAAATTGGCGGTCAACCAAGACCTGTATTCAACATTTTCGACATAGGCCCAGATTTTTTACAAAACCTGTTTTAACTGTGTTGTTTTCATCAACGTATGATCGACGAACGCCGATGACACGTCACTTTTTCGCAGCGCTGAGAGAAATGCGGTTATATTTACTTCTATTTGTGACCCAGTCGCTCTGATGGTCTTGTTGTTAATATTTACGTTGCTCATGAGTGGGCTGTTAGCGACGGCACGAGTGAGTGACAGCGCGTCCGTCCTGATGAGCGTGTACGTACATGCCCATATTCAGTCATTCAGGAACACTCACGTAGTCGCACAGATCGTAGAGATGGCCGCGGACGTATCCAGTCGCTTCCGCATCCGTGTCTCCACCGTTTAAGCGACGACAACGACAACGACGACAACAACGACAACAACAACAACAACAACGACGACAACAACAACAACAACAACGACAACAACAACAACGACGACGATGACGACGACAACAACGACGACGACAGCAGCAGCAGCAGCATTGGGCGGCGTCTCTGCCTAATGCTGTTTACCGTCATCATTCCCATCATCACCAGCTGATTGGTCCCGCCTGTCTCGTGTCCTTTAAAGCTTTTAGCCTCGTCTCTCGATAGCTTTGTCTCCATTTCGGAAAAAAACTGTGGCTCGTGCCATCAGGGCTAGTCAGCTTTTCCGATATCTTCTATTTGTATATATAGGCTAATCACTTATTTGGTTTTTCGCATCTGTATGTGTGACTGGGAGAGCCATGGAAAAGAAGTTTTCCGTACTATATTTGAGGTCCCGACACCTATTTTTCTCTGTCGAAATATACTGCCAAATCCAATCAGACGTGTCCTAATTTGGACCATTTAAGGCATGGTCTATTTTAGTTATTTAAGGCTTTTTCATTTTTTCTCAACTACTATTTACCACGATGTAAACTTACTACTTAAGATTTCCGTTGCACGTATCTTTTCGCATGCTTACTAGTAGCGCGATAGCATATTATGTCAGTCAGTACTATTTTTCTTTCAAAGGACAGGACGGATTAAGAATGGCTTTTCTGGAAGCTATTGAGTACAGGCAAAATGTTCAGGTTTTTTCATATCCCTAAAAATCCTCTTAAATATTTGGTAAGTATTAATAATTGTTAGCATATTTGATGGCAATCATTAGGGGACATGGTTGTTTGGAACCCGTTTAAAATACCCGCCAACAACTGGAGTCATCAAATAAAATTTATTGAGGAAGACGTTTAGTTATGTAGTTTTATGGGGAACCTTACGCTTCCGCCCTCGGGCACAGTAACTTCGGTGTATAATCTATTTTGTTTAACATTAGGGATCCATCGATTGAATTAGATGGTCTCATTCGATAGTCTTCATTTTATTGACTCATTGTTCTCTTACGTGTTCTCGATACATCGAAGACATCGATAGTCTTAACGTACTTTTCGGTCGCTCTGTAGATATATCTTTTCCATTGAATACAAATGCATTTTCTATATAGATGTATTTCGGTGTTTGGCTGACGTACGCTGTGAATGGGTGGTTTCGGATCATTGACTCGCTTACGATTATCGCCAAGACTGTTATCAGTGTCAAAGGAAAATCATCCTCGACCTCGATCGATCGATGAGTGGGCGAGTGGCGACCATTTGCTGACACGAGGTCACTAGATCAGGCCATAAAGTTTTGCCAGTTGATGATTAGTCAGTCAGCGGGCCATTATGGAACACGCCGAGTGCTCGTACGTTTGACTCGCTTCGATCAGATGGAAGCGAGCAGACATCGGCTGAAATAGCCGCGTTCACTCAGCGGGAGCCGGACTGACCTGGACCGCATTGGGGATCTTCATTGGAGACCGGCATGTTATACACTTCACTCGTTTTTGAATAGAATGAAGGAAAAAATAATCTGCCTGGAAGAATAAAAACAAATACTCGTATTAATATATGTGAAGCGTGTTGTCGAGCTTCTTCGATAACCGTCATACATATACTATTTTATGTTCTCCATAACCTGTTCCTTGTAAGATAGTTCCTTACGTCTATATACGTACTACGCTGAAGTAGCTAATCGCATGGCTTTCAAAAGTAAGACAATTATCTTCAGTCGCAACAGCGCCAAATTAGAGTATCTAGTAGCATCTGATTATGTGTCTAAGCCAATTTTCAGTACCCAGTATCGCGTTGCATTTTACCATAGGCAAGATTAGAGTACTTTAAGCTAAGTTTTGTATAGCTGACCCTGAAAACAGCTCAAATACAGTTTACGTTAAAAAGTTGACAACTTATCAAATGTTTAGAGACAATTTGCTATTTTCGAAGGAGCAGAACTTCGACCACTAAGACAGTGCGTATGGTTATCGGCCACAGGACATTGATTACTAAAGGTAACGATGGATTTTTTCTCCGTGTACCCTGCTGTATTTTCTATTCCATAATATAAATGATACAATTGTTTTATTTATCATCTGAATCGATCAAAAACTATGTCAGTATAAACAGTTGGTGTGATTTGTATAAACATTGTATGTTATGAAAAAGTAATTGTGCAATTCGGCTTGAGACATCCACCTTACTCGATTCGACTGCGTGTCGTAAACCTGAGAGCGGTTTTATCGAGATTGCTCTAATATCAGCTGGGCCAGCGTGAAACAGGACAAGCAAACACATCGAAGATTAGAGATCGCGTCCTACATTCGAATCGAGCACGCGACAAGGCTACAACTGGATTTCCAGCTATTTCGGTAACATGTGAAAGCATTTGTCATTGTGGGTTACATTGCGCGCTATTTACAAGAGATCCATTTTTAAAAGTCTTAAATAACATCCATATCGGCTCTCTTTCGTTTTTCTTTTGTTTTCGGGCTTTTTTTTTAGATGAAACATCTTCAAGAATTCTTCTTCTACCGTGGACACCTATTGATGTCGTGTCAGGACTCTTCCGTTCGATGTTTAAGATATATTAACAGAATGGTTTATAACATGACACAGTATCTGACTGGTAGAGAACGCTAGAGACGCGAAAGCATTTATTAGAGTGCGTTTGAGATATCACTCTTTGAAGAGATGTCTACCAATCGTCTTCCTAAAATCCTTTCAACAGTGTCGCGTCTCGTACTTCCAGGGATACTTTGTCCTCAGCCCCTTTCTACTCCCCCAGATGTCTTGGAAAAAAGCAGCCGTGCTAAAAAGCGGTGAGCTTATAATCCGTAACTGGAATCATCTGCTTATGAGTTGGTCTGTAAAAAAACGAATCGGCAAGCAAAGCGAAGCGTTCTCAGCAGTCGAATCATTGTACACTTTGTTTATGACAACACCTCATAACTGTACTGTGAAAAAAAAAAACAAAAACAAAAAAACTTTAAGTGTAGGATGTTATATGTGACCTGTGCAATTCATAAATAAAATTGAGTGTATATCCCTTTCAATCGAAGCTCAGAATATTAATGTGTTAATATGACACGTTAGAAAATCGCGTCTTCGGAGAGATTTTCTTTTTGTCCTGCCTTGCACTGAGCCGCACATAAGGCACCTTCTAATTTCATTCAAGGTTTCCCTTATTCGTATTTTGCTAGTATCTAATCTGCCAGGGACGAATTGTTTCGCGTGTATATGACATACTGATAGCTCCTTTAGCAGTATTGAAACAGAGAATCCTCCGTAAGTCCTTCATTATTATCCTTTCATATACGCAGACATTCATTCTGCTATATTTGGCAATTGTCCACTTCCACGAGTGGAGAATCGCCAGCTCTTAGCAACATTAGCGTCACTAATCGAGGCCGACAAACAAAGCTCTATGGGCTCGTACGTGTGTGTGCGTCTATATGGCCGGCCTATGTCATCCAGACCGCAGAGTCCAGCTATCAAATGCTACACTCTAATCTTAACGTCGTAACTCTGTCGTAGCCCTGAGATGCACCGGCAGACGTTCCGCCAGAGGACATGCGACGGAGGCAGCCACGGTCAATGGGCGTTTGGTTACCCCGCACCGATAATATTGCCCGATCCACGGAAGACTGTTTATCTGACGTCATCTGGAATCACTCTAAATCTTCCGTTTTCGATACCAATGACGTGATATTCTTGCCAGCGGTCTCATCTGTACGGACTTGCCACTACCAGCAAACTATTCGGTTTCCCAGAGCTTGCGCGAGGAAACAAAAACAAACGATCATGATTGTAATGGTGACGCATGTATCGAAAAGTACATTCTGTCCTCAACCTTGACCCAGACCCGGCCGTGGCCTCTCACTACTGCAAGGTCTTTCTCTCGTTGTTTCTTCCCTTCTTCGGGCAGTCCTCTAGCAGTTTCTTTTTGCTATCTATATTTATCTGTTTACTTTCGGTATCTATTTAAGTCTGTCTAGGCGAAAAGCAAAGCCGGATATGAGGTATGCATTAAGAGCACTATGCATTAGCATGTGAGCGAATGGGGGCTGATAGTCAGGCCAATTACAGTTCAATGCAGCAGGGCAGTTGCGCAGGCGAGAGGTCACACGGCGTGAGAATTAACAGTCAACAAGACGGCCTTCCGTCCTATCAAGCTCGTACGTAGTAAGCACGGCAAAATCTCTTTTTCTGCTCAGGCGTTCGACATCGCTTGTGTTGAAACTGTTAGTTCCATGTCAGGTCTTTCGAGTGGCGTTAAGCAGGAAGCATACAAGACAGCTGTATGAGCTGAGAATCCGTCGGGACAGACAGATGCGATCAGTAAAGAACGTCGTCGCTTATATAACACATACTGATTTCAACATATTGTCAAAAATTCGACCTTTTGTTATGAACAGAAATTTCAAAAAGCAATCGCACGATCGTTCGGTAAAT